TTATTTCGCATAATCTTAATCTGCAAAAAAAGAGCAGGAATCATTAATGCCAGCCAGTCTTGAACAGTGTTCAGATATGTGAGTGTAAGACTTAGGAATTTTTTATGATACTGACAAGGACAAATGAAATAATTCAAGAAGTGCCTACTAAGAGGAGTTTTGAAAAAGTTCATGGAAAATGTGTATTATGAAAAATATATGCTAAGATTTCCAAATTTTTAGCATTAAAAGACTTGTACTTTAACTCCATTTTCCCACCAATTTTTGAGGTCCTGTTGTATATGTATATTACATATAAATGAAAGTAAACCTATTTATGGAACATCTCAGACTCTGGCTTTTCCATAACTACTATCTCCAAAAGAATACAGAAATGTCCTGTGTAAGTTTTAGGTTGAAATCTCCACTACAGGTTGCCAAGTGTGCATATGCATCATGAGGCAGGCATATTCTAAAGAACTTAGAATAAAAGTTCTGTCAGGAATTAAGTGGGCTGCAAAATTCACAGTTTTTTTCTTTAAAGAATTATTTTATTTAACTTTATTTATTCATGTACTTATGTTTAATTTGACTAGAGAGGGACAGAGAGAGAGAGAGAGAGGGTAAGAGAAAAAGGAAGCCACCAGGTCCAGGACACAGACCACCATTGGCCATATGGGAGTCCAGTGCCTCCAACCACCATGCCACCTGCATGGTCCCTCACATCCAGTTTTAAAAGTGCATTCGTTTGATTGAGCAAAGGCTGGACTCCCAGCTCAATTTCAGATATGCTCTATCCTTCTGCCTCACAGACCCTTCTGCAGAATTAAAGGCCAAGTAAACAGAGTATCCAGGCTGCTCTGCTGTTTTCACAGCAGCCGGTTAATACGAAGTTAGGGAGGGATGATGGAAACCCGACACTGGACTGATGTAGAAATCATGGAAGGGAGTGAATTCTTTTCTGGGACAGAATAAAATCAGGGGTGTGAAGACTGTATTGAGCATAAAAACCTTGTGTTGGAATTTAGGAAAAGGAGAAGTATGAACCTGTGACGTGCTGAAGTACAACTATGGTTTCAGAATGGGTCTGTATCAGGATTAGAGTAATCAAACACCTAATTTTACACTTACCTATTTTAGTTTGGGAACAAATTTTTTTTTTTTTTTTTAAGAGAGATTTTTGCTATAGGGCACGCACGCTACGCTCTCAGGAGAGACAGAAATCGAGGAATCACCCCCTGGGGAGATGGCCACGCCACAATCCCTTCTCCTCTATTCTCCTCTCGGGATTTTGGGCACACACACATGCTCCTGGCATGAGTTTTAAGGCACTGGGTCTGGGATTTCAACTGTGGTCAACTGCGTGGGAGTCCAGTTTTGTAACCATTACACCATCTGTTGGTTCCTGAAGTTATTTTTTTAAAAACAAAAAAATATTAATTGCCAGAGGGCACTTGTGCTCATGGGTAGGGGGAGGGGAGAGAATCCTACAACACAATCCCTTCTCCATTTCTTCATCCTGTCAGGATCTGGAGTATGCACACACATGTATTCCAAGCCACCGTGGCCAATATTGAAACCGCAATTGGCCATGTGGGATGATCTGCTCCCTTATCCACTAGACTATGGAGCCAACCTCCCAAGATTTCGATTTTGCTTTTCATGACTTCCAGGACAAGGCTGAATGCTTCGGTCAGTGGTTTTCTAATATGATCTCTGCTGACTTTTCCAGTCCTAGCTCTTATTATACTTCAACCACTCTTTAGTTAGCCGACTGCATGGGAGTCCAGTGACATAGCCATTACACTAAATACTTAACTGGTCCCAGTTAAGTTCTTTTTTAATCCTAGCCTTATTGGTGCCCAATAATGCCTGTTTTCAAATATTATACTTATTATTTTATTTTCGAGATGACAATAAACTTTACTGAGAACTCTTTCATTAGGACTGCTATTTGTTAGTCATAAGCTCTCAAGCAAATGCAAATATTCCAGTTCCTTTTTTCTCAATTGCCAAAGGGTGCATGCACTCATCAGAGACAGACAGAGGGAGGAAGAAAGCAACCACCCCCCCCCCACACACACACACACACACACGCACACAATGAAGCATGGTCATACTGCAATCCCTTCTCCTCCATTTCTCCATCCTGTTGAGATTTTGGGCATGCATGCACCTATGCCCAAAATAGCTGTTGGGATTGGGATTTAAACTGTGATTGGCCATGTGGGATCTAGCTCCCTTAGCCACTAGGGTACAGGGCTGGCCAAAGATTCCATTTCTCATTTACAAGGTAACAAGTTGGTTGACCTGGAATTTGTGTTGTATTTTTTTCCCCAGATTCTTTGGCTTTCTCTATGATATGACAAGTCAAAGTATGTTAATATATTAAATTCCAACATCTAATAATATCCTACTCTGAAAATTAAACATTTTATTGGTCTATTTAGGGAAGCTTTACTTAATAGGCTATCACAGGTGCAGAGGCAAGTTTTGAGTTTTTGTTTTAATCAGGCAGTATATTATCTATTTGTAGTCATGCCAAAGAGGATAGTAAGCTGGCAAATGAGCCTTCTGTGCCCATAATAGACCCTGCTTCTGGGTGTAAAGCCAATGTTTTTAAAGTTGTTCCAAATGACTGTCAGTGGAAATGATACCTTAGAGCCCTTTAAACATGGTTTTGTAGAGATTCCTGGACTCTTGGTTCACAGACCAGAATGAAGTAGGTTTGGGGAGTAAATCTGGGAGCTCAGTTTTAGTGCTGAATTTTACTTTTGCCAAATACTATTTCATAAAATAAAAGCCTTTTAGCAACTTAAGAGTAGGAAAATATAATCTCAGAATAAATATTATTCCTTGAAATTGAATACACAGAGCTTTATGATGAACACATTCCATCATCCTGTGCTTTTCACTTAGAGCAGCAGAAATGTCTCCAGCTTCCTGGCACAAGTTTGTAGACTATACGTTGGGGAACTACAGTTGTGATGGGAGCCTGTAGCACCTTGATTAGATATAGAAGTGGTCAAATATAAATCTACTCAAGTCTGGTCAGGTTCTCCAATGTGTGGCCACTACAAATGACACTTGCTTTATTTTTAACCACTATCACATTTAAATAGTGCTAGAATAAGTGTTCACCCTGGCAAAACTGTGCTGGCCCCAGGAAGTGCTGATGGCTGCCACCCAGTACCCTCTGATACTCCCTCTTAGGGTCTTACCAACCCCCTGGGGACTGTTACTGTGGTAGGCAGTTAGTTAGCCGTGAGCAGGCAGCCCTAAGAGAAAAGTGAAAGGCTCATCTAGCTCCAAGTGCCAGGAGGGCGAGGCATTACCTTCTTCCTTCCTTGAGGCCTGAGGGAAGCACAGAGGATGATTCCTAGATTTTTCTCTTATCAAAAAGACCTAAGCAAGCATTTTTTGGACAATGCCCCAATTCCTATTAGGGCAATGGACTAACTGGGCAGTCTAATTGGGGCAACCTGGCTAGCATTGGGCACCATGCGTGATTAGGTGATCAAGTTCCTCATTCTTTACCTGTGAGGAAGGTGCACAGGTGCAGGAAAAGAACCTGTGGATTCAAATTTAGAAGAACATAGGCAGCATAAGGGGTCTCCCACTAATGAATATTCATGACCTCTAGTAATAAAATAACAGTTAACTAGTACCAAGCATGGTTGCCACTTGGCAATCCACCCGCCCAACAACCTTTTTGGGTGTACTTTCTTTCTTTCCTTTCCTTTCTTTCTATTAAATCTTTTTTTTTTTTCTTTTTTTCCTACCTACTTCATTTGTGGTTGCAGTTTCATTTTGCGCCTAGGGACAGATCTCTAATTTTAGTGATCTGGACCCAAAGAACCAAGGATTTCACAACGCAGCTCAACACTCTCCCATCTGTTAACATTACCTTATGCCACCGGCCATCATTGATTTTGGTGGGGATCATGGTGTTGGTGTCACCACTCCCCAAGTCATAGCTGAAGTAGGGCAATCCATTTCTCAGCTGAACTGTAGCAAAATCAGCATGATTGATCCGAGCCATGTAAAAAAGCAAGCCCGATTCGGCTTCGGTTCGCACTTCCAACTCAATTGTGAGGCTGTGAAATTAAACCGTGTAGAGTAAAACAGGAAGATAAAAACATTCTTACACTAAAGGAGAGTAGTATGAGATCAAGGGTGGTTTCTCACACAGGAGAGTAAACTTTCTCAGAGACGAGGACTGTGCAGGGCTCCTGGCTTCCTACACTGACAAATGTTATTCTATTCTCTGCTGTACTCAGAGCATTAAACAAAAGAAAGAACTAACTGCATTAATTAATAAATGTAGTTGATTAAACTTGATTAAACATGAATACTCAGTACTTCATTTATCAGTTCTTTTCCAATGTCTCAGAATAGCACATACCGGTTTTTAACTTTGGTGTCATCAAATGCAATTGCAACGTGACTGTTTTTTGAAAGCCCAAACTGCTTACTCCTTGCCAAAAGAGCCGGTTCCGATTCTGCAGCACAAGGACCCTATAAAATACCAAGGAGAGGAAGAGAAGACCATGGGCTCTGTTCTTCAAAAAGGCAATGCTGTCCTCTAATTGTTTCTTACACATTGGCTTAAAGTCATATAACCTTAAATTCTTTAGGATGACAAACTGCCCCCATTTACCTCTGCAATTTACTACATAGTGAGTACTTGTGAAATAGTCACGGAATGTGAGTCCATGTTGCCATATCACACCTTTGACTTGCAAAATGAATGTGCTGAAAATATTTATCAATTACTTCCCACTGTCATTGTCTTCTAAGGAAAAATAGTGTTCATATTTCTGAGAAAACTGAAATTCCCTTTCAGGTTTACTTCACATATGAAGAATTTTATTCTCAGAAGATTGAATGGGGGAAAATAAGCTAGTCACTGGGTAATAAGAGTAGAAAAATATGTTCCTTCTTGTTCTCACCATTTCCATCTCCCAATATATTACTTTTCCTTGAAAATTATCAGTCCACTTGAAGTTTCCATGAATTTAGACTTTCAAGATGATGTATCAAAACCTGCAAGTCAGCCCATTCAGGCCCTTAGCCAGTTGCTAGGCAACCCATTACATTTTTAAATGTAACCCACCATACACCATTTCATCTGCCACTGTTCAAAGACGAGCTTCCTCGGGTGCTCAAGAGGGACAGGGAGGTGCAGGGCTGTGAAGTCACACAGTTTAATGCTCTGTTGTCACCGTCTTGAAATTCTTAATAATGTTTTAGCAAGTATTTTCATTTTGCACTGGGGCTTGCAAATGTTATGGTCAGTCTTGGCTAAGTGGACCATACCAGGCTACTGCAGCACACAGCTCAATAAATAATCAGGTCTCCTTAAATGACCAAACCCACAGTTCCTTTCCCTGTTCCCTCTTTTCACAGGATAGCTCCAGATATAGGCTGCTTTGGAAGACTTTCAGAACCTGCAGAACATGAGAAAATAAATAACCGGTGTACTCTCACCAACACATCTGTTTTTGAGATCTGCTTTTAACAGCTCTGGATAAGCCACTGCCCAGCAAGCGCTGACTCAGCACAGGCTCTCAAACCGCCCAAGGGCAGGCTTGCCAGGCAGTGTTCTTCCCAAATACTGCACCTCAGAGGTGACTCATCCACACACGGGGAATTTTTACCGGATAAGAAAAGCCTTGTTCTCTTTCTTCTTGATCCTAGTCAAACGAAACACCCTGCCACAGCAGGTAAAAGGCTTAAAGTGTTTCAAAATGCTGTAAAATTGGTCTTCATGGAAGCAGTTCCCTTTTTGCTTCCCAGGAGATGGTCAGTTATAAAGAACAGACTGGCTGAAATTCACACAGCTATGCAAAAACCCAGTGGGTGGGACAGGAAATGCTATTCAGGTGTACAGCCTGGAATCAACATGGAGCACCTTTCTTTTCACACTGCCTTGGAAAAGAGCTGGAATGGAAAGGCTTTGGTAGCTGAATGTCTCAGCCATCAATGAGGCTTTTAATAGAACTGGAATCATCTATCAACCTTGGACAATATTTCCTGTACAGAGGACCAGGTCACCAAACATATACAGCCAGCAGTCCTCCTCAGCCATCTCTCAGAGAATCCTCTGCTGTGAGTCTACTGGGAGCAGAATTTCACTGAAACATCCTTACATCCTCAACTCTGAAAACTGAGAGATTTAAAAAGTCAATGGATGCTGAGAAATTAGGCTACATGTGTAGCCTAAAAGAAAACCACCAGTAGGTTATGTCCATATTATTCTTACTACTGCAGTCACTTGTCCAGTTACCATCTACAAATATAAAATATATATTTTTTTCTTTTAGAGGTTTTTGCTATAGGGCACGTGCGCTCGCCAGACAGACAGAGACAGAGAGATAGAAAGCACGAAATCACCCCCCAGGGGGGATGGCCACGCCGCAATCCTTTCTCCTCCATTCTCCTCTCGGGATCTTGGGCATGCATGCACACGCGCCCGGCGTGAGTTTTAAGCCACCAGGTCCAGGACGCAAACCGCGGTCGACTGCGTGGGAGTCCAGCGTTTTTACCGGATAAGAAAAGCCTTGTTCTCTTTCTTCTTGATCCTAGTCAAACGAAACACCCTGCCACAGCAGGTAAAAGGCTTAAAGTGTTTCAAAATGCTGTAAAATTGGTCTTCATGGAAGCAGTTCCCTTTTTGCTTCCCAGGAGATGGTCAGTTATAAAGAACAGACTGGCTGAAATTCACACAGCTATGCAAAAACCCAGTGGGTGGGACAGGAAATGCTATTCAGGTGTACAGCCTGGAATCAACATGGAGCACCTTTCTTTTCACACTGCCTTGGAAAAGAGCTGGAATGGAAAGGCTTTGGTAGCTGAATGTCTCAGCCATCAATGAGGCTTTTAATAGAACTGGAATCATCTATCAACCTTGGACAATATTTCCTGTACAGAGGACCAGGTCACCAAACATATACAGCCAGCAGTCCTCCTCAGCCATCTCTCAGAGAATCCTCTGCTGTGAGTCTACTGGGAGCAGAATTTCACTGAAACATCCTTACATCCTCAACTCTGAAAACTGAGAGATTTAAAAAGTCAATGGATGCTGAGAAATTAGGCTACATGTGTAGCCTAAAAGAAAACCACCAGTAGGTTATGTCCATATTATTCTTACTACTGCAGTCACTTGTCCAGTTACCATCTACAAATATAAAATATATATTTTTTTCTTTTAGAGGTTTTTGCTATAGGGCACGTGCGCTCGCCAGACAGACAGAGACAGAGAGATAGAAAGCACGAAATCACCCCCCAGGGGGGATGGCCACGCCGCAATCCTTTCTCCTCCATTCTCCTCTCGGGATCTTGGGCATGCATGCACATGCGTCTGGCGTGAGTTTTAAGCTGCCGGATTGGGGACGCGAACCGTGGTCAACTATGTGGGAGTCCAGTGACATAGCCATTACACCAACTGCTGGTCCCTATAAAATAATTTTTCTGACATGAAGTTTTAAACAATCACAGTGGCTACTGTAATAATTAGGCTTTTTATTGGTAGCAGCTGTATGTTATGAGGAGCTCTTTTTCTTTGTGTGTCATGTGGCGGCCCACACTGTCCTCACTTTGCTTGCTGGTAGACTAGACAAGGGCTTTCAAAACCGGTTCAGAGTTGAGCAGCGGTGTTTGGTCACATACTATCAGATTTTCTATATGAAAAAGGCCCCAATTAAATCTTTTTAGGAAAAATATTTGACCAATAAAGGACAGGGACCAATGAAGGACAGAGACTTGTCGACTTTCTTTTAAGAATCATTCCATGCATTCTATTCTTTAAAATCTAGGAAGAAGAGCGCCTCCTGGAGGGCATTCCCCTTCACTTCTGCAAAGGGGAGGCCCTGAGAAGCAGGCCAAAGCAGTGGTTACTGAAACAGTGTTGTCTGAGTAGCCAACACTGCAGAATAGAGTGGTAACAAACTGGTTGCACTAATAGGTAATGCAAAGTATGAAGTCCTTATGGTCATTTCTTATCTCTTTAAGGACATCCACAATGTTTACTGTTAAAAATTTACAGGAGGACAGATATTGTCCATATTCCTTTAATAAAACTTCTATCGCCTTCTTTTATAAAACAGGCAGTTGGAAAAGGACTAAGTGTTGGGTAAGAGGGATTTTGTATAGCTGTACTTTAGGGTTTAAATGGGAAGAAAATGCTCCGACCTCCAATCTGGTAATGTTGTGGCACAAATATGGATCTCTCCTCTGGCTTGGTTAAAAGCAGAGAAGGTGTGTCTGCCTCGCATCTCTCTCCCTTCGTGGACTGTAATCACGAGTCTAAGCCACCGGTGAAACCACGGCTGATATTCACATGGCTGCAGGGCAGCCCCTTTCCAGCGGTTTTCCTGCCTTGCTGAGCCCTCATTGCTGAAGAAGGTGGAGCTGCTCACCCTGCCACTCAAGTTTCTTTTTTTTTTTTTCCTTGTAACATTTTAAAGAGGAATGCGTGAGATGGACCAGGAAGTGTTCTGTGCTTTCCACAAGAATAAAACGAGCTTGCTAGTAAGGACACTTTCAACCCTGCTTCCCACAGAAATCTTAAGAAGAGTAGGAGGAAAGCTCTAATGAGGTCATTTTAAAGAACCTTTAAAACATGGTCATTGCAAGGTGAATCTTCCTCCTCTAAGCTAATGTGAACGTGAAGGGAATCATCATTTTTATGGATGTGATGCTTTACCTGGTTGTTTTGGAAACACCGCTCTCTGAAATGTGTTAAAAATAACAATAAAAAAAAAAAATCAAGGTCTCAGGAGAGGCTCATCAATCTCAACATGTTACAATTCTGCCACCTTGTGGGAATTCCTTTACAGTACTGCTAGCACGTATGGGGAAAATGTGATGCGAAAGGAGGACACAGAGTGCTTGCTTTTTATTAGTCTCTGCTTGGCAGGTGACAAGTTGGGGGTAGAGACGACTTGGGCAGGGAGTGTAAAGTGGTAGTGCACCTGTGGGTGAAAGCAGGATGTGGGTGAAGTGGCTTCTGAAGGAAGCTACACTCAGGAAAGTGCACAGTGCAGTGGCTTCGTAATGGGATGAAGACCCTGTCTCCCTCGTACTCTTCACTCAATCTCGGGTCAGCATGAAGGAGTGGTCATTTATAAATGCAGGCTGGTGGCTGACATTTGAAAATGAGTTATTGGGTTCAAGAGAGCATATCATTGATTCATGGATAGACATCCTTTTCTTTTCTTCTCTTTTCTTTTCCCTTTTCTTTTCTTTTCTTTTCTTTTCTTTTCTTTTCTTTTCTTTTCTTTTCTTTTCTTTTCTTTTCTTTTCTTTTCTTTTCTTTTCTTTTCTTTTCTTTTCTTTTCTTTTCTTTTCTTTTCTTTTCTTTTCTTTTCTTTTCTTTTCTTTTCTTTTCTTTTCTTTTCTTTTCTTTTCTTTTCTTTTCTTTTCTTTCTTTTTAATTTTGAGATAGGTCCAGAGCAGAGATTTAAATTGCATTTATCAAAACTGGCATCTTTGTTCTTGAAAGCACTAAATGACGC